GCTGCAGGGTCACCTGAGCTTGTTTGCTGGTCCAAAAAGTTGGCATTAGTAGAAAGAACGGCCCACTCTGAGGACGCAGATGGACACTGTAGGAAATGGCTTTATACCAAGATCACTCAATTGAGACACTGACTTCAAGCCCAATGGCTGTCAATCATGCTAATCGAATGATCAGATATTGAAACAATGCTCCAAAGCTGCGTTCACATTATCAGGCTGAAGTGGAGCAAATCTGATTTTTTACCCTAATGTGACTCAGATCTGATGTTTTCAGAGCTGTGTGGACACAAATCTGATCTTTTCAAATCTGATCTGAATCACTTTCATATGTGGTCCTAGATCAGACACGTGTCCGATTCGTTGCCATGCGACCTTAATGTGACACTCAGATCTGAATTCATGTCCTTTTGTCCCACTGTGCGTGCTCCATCATTCAGCGTTACCATGGCAGCAGCGCAGAACAGAAGTTAAAGCCTGTAAACGGTGGAAAAGCAGCTCATCTCACCTTTTTCTCCTTCGTCTCGCTCTAATAATGAAGCTGAGAGCTGATCAGAGTTAATTACCTTCTCAGCGAAGCTCGTTCTGCTCGTTAGTTTGTGCTGATGATGAACGTGATTCATTCACGTGACGTTACTGAGTAGGATGAGCTCATGAGGGTCATTTCAGGACGCCGCTTTGTCACATTAATGACAGATTTGAGTCACTTACCTAAATGAGTGTGAACCATCGTGTCAGAGAGATCGGTGTGAATGTAGCCTAATACTGTAAGCTTGAACTGCACACTAAGAGACAGATGTATGAAAATATGTTGGGTAATAAAAAAGAAAAAGTGAGAGATGTCTAGCAGGCGTAAAACACAGGTGAAAGATGTAAGATGTGTTTTCTCTGTTTCAGTGGTCTGTCTGAGTACAAGAGTGTAGAGTGTGAATTAGCTTACCTTTCTGGAAGCTTTTTCCAACCATTAGGGCATCCCAAGTCAAGTTTCAGGGTAAAAAAAGCTTCAGGTATTACTGTACATTTTGGAGCGTATAAGTTATAAGTTACAAGGTATCAATCAGGACATCAATCACCTGAACAAGCTTTGAAGTAACAGGCTAGTTCAATGCAAAGCTGAAGAAAAAAACATGGATTCCAAACATATCTTGGCCAATTGAATGGAAAACTATGTGAATGTAATTTTCACAGCAAAAGAGAATTATTGGAGTTAATTGCAATTATTTAAGCTGCCTGCAGTCGTTTATACTAAACCTTTAGTGCTAAACTGCAACAAGCAATATGTGAATTGGTGTGTAGGCAAATAAATGTAAATAAAAAAAGCATTGAATGCATTATTTGGGACATCATGGGGCTCAAGAAAACAAAAAATGTTCATTTATTTATTTATCATGTTAGCTACTAGGAAACATAGCCAGCATGTAAGGTGGCTGATCAGCCAAACAGCCACTTTAGGCTTGTATTTTAACAGTTGCAAACAATAAACAAGACAAGACAATTAAATCGCAATTATTTATGACAATTAATCGTCAGCTAGTCTTTCATGACCGTGACAGCAATAACCTTCACATATTAGTTAATGCTCATACATAACCACACAAACTGATCCCTGAAAGTTCAAAGCATTATGAGAAACTGGTCAGATATGAGTTATGAAATTTGTCAGGTAAGGGGCTCCAGAGACGACCTGAGGTAATAAAGGTGATGCATTAACTCAGCCCACTGTCAAACCCCACCTCAGAGAGGTTGTTTCAGGCTTCATGTGTCTGAACTTGCTATTTCAGTGAGATCTGGTTAATAAGTAATCTGTCCTGCGATGCGCAACCACACAACCACAAACACAGATAGTCCACTCATTCAGCACCCCCCCCCCGCCCCACCACGTCTGGGCTGTAATCTCCTTAACAATCTTAACAACTGATGGTTGTAAAAACAAAAAGATCAAGTCATGTTTTAGAATGGTTGGAGCTTTTCTCTCCTCCAGAGCCTAAACAGTGTCACATCACCGAAGCAGCCTTTCTCTCTCAGAGCTGCGTCTCTCACGGTGGTGACGGCGATGCTGGTGGGAGCGAAAGGGCAGCAGGTTATCGCTCAGATGAGCAAAGGGAAAAAGAGAGCAAAGAGGGAAGAATGACACAGCTTCATCTGATCAGACGACTCAGCGAGGCTGAAGATGCGCCACAAAAGCTACTGCTGGCTGCCCCGCCTCCTTCCTCCCACACAGAGACGCACACATTAAACACAAACAGACGCTCCATTTTACAGACCCGCCAGGTCACTGTAGATCAAACAGTCACCAGGCCAGGTAATTCACAAACTCACATCTATCAAACTAGAGTGACTGTACGAGATAAACACGAGACAGGAAGTAAACAAGGAGTCAGCTCGTCTGCCAGAGGCACCACTCGCACCCTCGGTTTCATTTTCCACAAATAATAATTAAATACCGACACAGACATTTCTGTCCACACATATGATGATGAGATTCAGCTGCTATAAATAGTCTGAATACAGAATCATTCAATCTGTGGTTAGGAGAACAGAGAGTTGTGGGTACAGTGATGCTCTGTGGCGCTAAATACTAGATTTCTTTTTAATTAGGCCAATAATTAGGAATGTTTTATTTTGGTTTGTTAGTTTCGGATTCTGTGATCATGCAGCGGAAAGACTGGTGGAACTGACACCTTGGCTCGTTCTCAGATATATTCTAGGATGCCTGTTATTCATCCACAAGTTGTCTAATATCAATCAAGCGACAAGGAAAAGGATCCAGTTCAACACTGTAATATAGTAACGCTGAGCTGTCATGATCGTTTAATTTAACCTGACAATTAACTGAGATATAAATAATCAATATTAACTATGCACTGAATTGTCTTGTTCATTATTTGCAACACAAGCCTAAAGCGGCCACACTGGCTGGTCAGCCACACTACTTACTAGGTATGTTTACTTAGTAGCTAACATTGAGTGTGTTTACATGCACTCAATAATCCGATCATAATCAGATTTCTGCAGTTATCAGCAATTAGTCATGAAAGGTTAAAAAAATGAATAGTGAGTTAGGATTTTTGATATGCAAATTAGTTCCTATCACACGTAAGACATTCTCATGTTTAAGAATAAGAAACGTCTGAGCTTAATGCTCCACCAGAGGGCAGCGCAGAACCTGTGTATAATGTTGTGGTGGTTCCAATCTGTTTAAGAAAGATTACTGCAGCCGTCTAAAGGCTGCACACCAGAGGAGGAGCTCTACTCATATACATTTAACAGATTCACCTCCACACAGCCTGTAACTCTTATATTTGATTTTACTTACCTTTTAATATGATTTTAGCTACTGATTTACTTTTTATTATTCTTTTTATTCCTTTTATTTATTTCATGAGCATTATTTTTATTTATTTTATTCTATTTTATTACTGTCAATTTATTGTCTTACATCTTCTGTTTGTTTTTATTTCATTCATTTACATCTTTATTTATTTTATCCTTATCTGTTCTGTTACTCGTTAGGTTACTGTATTGTTATACTGTATTTATTGATTTATTTGTATCTTCTTCTTATAAAATTTTAATATTATGATTTTTATTGCTTTATTATAACATCTGATTTCTTTGTACTACCCAAGTTCTCAGTCCCTGATTTCTGTATTGATCGGCTGCATTGTAAATGGGGGTCTCCCTCAATGTATTGCGAGCTTAAATAAAGATTTATTGATTGATTGACTGATGTAGTGAATTTATATGAGTGAATTTATCACACTTGTTATCAGCTGATCAGTTTGTGTCTTTTCATCTTAAAAAACTTTAGACTCAGACCTTTCTCTGTATTAATCTCTATGCAGGGCTAAGCTGCTGAGTGGAGTCACTGTCTCTGGTGGTGTCTAAGGTGTGGCAGCCTGCAGCCTTAAGAGTTTTTTTGAGGGGGTTGTATTTTAGAATAATGCCTTACTAATTTGAATATCAAGCTTGACTCTAACGGTCATCCTTACCTACCAATGTCACTGTCTTAAACAGCATCTACAAGCATGTTGCATTAAGTATGCATTAAGAATAGTTTATGAAAATGAACTGACGCAGTGAAAGCTGGAGTGAAAACTATGCTCATATAACCACAGCAGCACTTACCAGGCTGGCCAGTTAATTGGGCTGGGAGAAAAGCATGTTTGTTCAAGTCCAACATCAAACCACTAGTTAAACTGCATCTCACCTCATCAGGCTTTCAAACACTTGGCAGAGGAATCTCTAAGTGTGGGTCAAGCTCAGGGTAATAATGACACATGTAAGATATTTCCTGCAGGCTTGGAGACCAACCAACTACAGTATAAGTGAGATTAACCATCTTTAAACCAAGCAGATGCTTTTCTGAACACTGTATAATACAGTCCCCCTCTACGTGACTCATTCACCACACCATGAACTGTATGACTCATACACTCATACACAACCTTAGCATCCTATAGTGTATCACACAGCATGAACAGGGCCCTATAAACCAATCAGAGTTCAGTGCAATTCTTAGAGATACAAGCTACTTCTAATTTTTCTGAATTTGCATGTGGGACTTTTTAATTGCACTTTTGCTGTATACCTTATTATGCTGTCCAGTAGGGATGGGCAATATAATATGATGTATTATCATCACAATACAGGAGTTTATCATGGGTATCTTCAGTAATATAACACAAAACAACTGCATTTATGACAAAAAAGGCAGATTAATACTAATTATGAAGATTAAATTAAACAGCAACATAGAAATAATTAGCTGAATGGATGTCAGTCTGTTACGCCATTTTTCATCAACTTTTTGTTTGTATTTTATCTGTTCCAACTTGTTCTTAAACTTAGAAAAACTACATATCATGATACATATCAAGATTTTTTCCATTACTATACAACTAAAACTATACCATTCAATGCACACCATACACTTCATACACCGTTCCATTTCAGTGAATGAGCTCATTTAGGGCAACATAGTGAAGCTTATCCAAACGTACCTGTTGCGGGGGACGGGGATATGAGAGGAAGCATCGGGGTCCTCAGGGGAAGGGTCCGTAACACGCAACGGCAGGACACATCTTGGCTCCTGGGGCCTCCTCACTGGAGTCATGGCCTCCACATGTATGTGGTCCTCTGGCCTCTGTCCATTTAACACCAGGAGATGAGTCGGGCTGCCTCGTTTGAGGACACCACCGGAGGAGGCCATCTCTCTCCCATCCTCCTCACCAGCGCAGCCCATCTAGGGTTAAAAAACGTCTGTGGTAAAGCGTCAGTCATCACACTGCACTACCGTTCACACACGAGCCCTGGACTGGCTCACCTACATTCTGACAAGGAGGCGTGGCCCAAAGACCAGGCCCTGGGTCAGTCTTTCAATATTCGTTAATATAGATATTTAAGGTACTGACTGCTAGTTGGAGAACGGCATCTGAACCTCCAGCTTCTGACTGAAAATGTGGTCAGTAGACAGCGGGGGGGTGTCTACAGGTGGGCTGGGGTGGGTGTTGCCCACTGAGAGGAATCCTCCGCCCATCCAATAAAACCCTGAATAAAATCACTGTTATAGCTGGTTTTTGAGTGTTCATAGTAGATCATTTTGTTATTGCTCATCTAAAATGCGCTGCTTTCCTATTGGCCGTTTTGAAGGTGTGGGTGTGTTTAGTCAGAGCTCCTCCTTCACATTATCACCAAGCCAGGTGACAACTGTTGTTGTTGCCCACCCAAATCATTCAAATGCCCACCCAAAGACGGCATCCTAGTAAAGCCTCTGGTAGACAGACACGCCCCAGTGCAGACATCTGTGGACCCCTCTTAGCAAGGGGTGGGCAATACGACGATAGTTATGGCTGTAGATAATATTCCGATGATGTAACAATCACGCTGCCACCATTTTGGCAGGCAACACGCTGATGTGGTTTGTAATGAGATACTAAAGCCAAAACTGATCCAACTGAGGTGGTTAAAGACGTTTTCTGGATCACTTTTAAATCTCATTTTTAAACCGTGTTAACTTTAATTTTGCTCATTAAACATTTCCAAGTGAACGTTTAAGGCAGGGGTGCACAGCTCCGATCCTGGAGGGCTGGTGTCCAGCACAGTTTGGAGGTTTCCCTAAACAAACACACCCACTTAACCTGGCAATTAACAGACAAGTGTAATTAGATGTGTCGGAGCAGGTAAACCACCAAACTGTGCTGGACACCGGCCCTCCAGGCAGCCCTGGTTTTAGGTATTTGTTGATTAAACATGATTATACTGAGGCCAATCAATGCATTTACTGAGGTGAGGCTTCTTATTCGCCAACTTTCATAATTCATTCTACTTTTAAATCAGTGTAACGCAGCGCCACTTAAGGTGGAACGGTGAATTCAAACGAGAAGCTGGATGATAAGAAGCTTCAGCTTTATATACATGTATGAGTTTATTGTTGAAGAGCTCTGGTATCCACTGTGTTAGTTGTTGTAAAATCGCAGACTGTAAAGTTCTGAACTCGGAGATATGCAGGTTATACGGACACAGTCCACCAGTCCAGCTAACGTCAACGTCCTCGCTGCGTTTTCTGGAGACGCATCTAAAGCATCTACATATCTCTGCACCTTTTTAGTGGTCATTCTGGTCTGTGTTGTTGGTGTTTGTGGTCATTCTAGTCTTTGTTGTTGGTGTTTTGTGGTCATTTAGTCTGTTCTGTTGGTGTTTAGTGGTCATTCTGGTCTGTGCTGTTGGTGTTTTGTGGTCATTCTTGCCTGTGTTGTTGGTGTTTTGTGGTCATTTAAGTCTGTTTTGTTGGTGTTTGTGGTCATTCTGGTCTGTGCTGTTGGTGTTTGTGGTCATTCTGGTCTGTGTTGTTGGAGTTTAGTCATCATTCTGGTCTGTGTTGTTGGAGTTTGTTGTCATTTTAGTCTGTTTTGTTGGTTTTAGTGGTCATTCTGGTCTGTTGTGTTGGTATTTAATGGTCATTCTGGTCTGTTTTGTTGGTGTTTAGTGGTCATTCTGGTCTGTGTTGGTGTTTTGTGGTCATTCGGGGTCTGTGTTGTTGGTGTTTAGTGGTCATTCTGGTCTCTGTTGTTGGTGTTTATCCTCCTGCAGGGCTGTATCTGCAGTACCAGTGATGAGTTGAGCTCTGCTGGAGTTACAGCTCACCTACCAACATGGAGACTCATCGTATTACCGACGCAAGCAAATACTATGAACGGCGATGGATTACGTCACGTTACGTCACAATGTGCTATTCTGAGCATGTGGACATCTATGGCTCACTGACCTACAGACGTTTCATTACAGCACAGTTAGCCCTGTCTATGTGGATTTAGTGCCGTACATAAAACGTGTAATAAAACATTACAGCCCCAGCTTTTCAAATGTGGCGCTACTCTTTATTTTTTCTCTGATTAAACTTGTCAAAACCTCAGAAACGCGTGCTGTGATGTCAGTAGTGTGTCATGTAAAATCGTTTTTTGGCCGCAGTGCAAACTGAACACACATCTAAAAACGAAAAACACTGAATTAAAACAACACTGAGGAGAGTATTTCGATAAAACATGAACAGCTGAGGTTTCCGCGGCGCTAAAGTCCTGAGTTTCAGCTGGACGGACCGTGGAGCGGAGCTGCAGTGAGGGGGCGTGACGCCCACAGCGCCGCAGCCTCACGTTACGAAACAGCGCCTCGAACTTTAATAAGCAGAGCGGCGCTTTAACGGGGTTTATGTCGCGGTGCGAGCTCGACACCCCACACTGCACTGCAGCCGGAGACTGATCGCCTGTCTGCCCTTCCTGTGCGCAGACAGGCTGTCTCTCGGTGGCCGGCTCGGCTCGGCTCGGCTCGATGGGGGAGGGGGAGTCAGTCCGGCCCTCTTTTCCCCTTAAACTTTCAACATGCGTTAGTCGCCATCTTAAAATAAACGCATCACACTTACAAACGGGCTGTACCGGAACGGAACCGGGGAAACGCGTAGATTTCACTCCGGGCAGAAAAAGCAGGGCTTTACTTTTCCTGCGTTTCACGAGTTCAACACGTAGCTTTGAGATAAACGCCGAACGCCCTCGACACGAGCATGCTGCACACACACACACACACACACACACACACACACACACACACACTCTCACACACACACACCGCTCCTAAACGACCGCTGTACCGCTGCTTACCTTCTTCCTGCTGTGGAGCTTCTCCCTCCCCGAGGCGAAGTGGTTTCCATTGAGAGAGTTCTCCTTGCTCGGCTCGTGCAGGGACCCCTTGTCCAGCAGTTTCGTGTTAAAGCCATTGACCGGTACGGGTCCTTTCTTCCTCGCCCAAAAGACCCCGTAGTCCACGGCCGCGACCCCCTCGCCGTGGCCTGCGTGCGTGATGATGCCGCCGGCGCAGCTCGCTCTGACGCCGGGCGGAGACCTGTCGAGCAGGCGCTTGGAAGTCATTTTAAACGTGACGAGCGGCGCTAAAGGCAGAAGACGAGCTCTCGGCGGGTCGCGGAGCGGACTGGGCACAGATACATTTAATACGAGTGTGCTGACCACAAAGCCGCGGCGCTGCGCTGACACGGCGGGTCCACTGCTGCTCCGAAGCCCCGGAAAGCGGCCGGTTATAGGAATAAACGATTGTTTTGCTTTTCTCTCCGAGACCGACGCCACGCCCACTCTTCGCCGCGCGTGCAGCCGGGCAAGCTCAGCGAAGCTCCGCCCCTCATTGATTCCGATTGGCCGTCCGAGGACATAAACATTCTATTTTGGCACGCGGCCACTGAGACTCGCCCGCTGATTGGACGGTTTCGAAAATGTCAGGCTGTTTTTTCAGCGACCTGTGGAGGTGTGTCTCCTCCATTTGCCGGCCGGTTCAGACTGAAGGAGGAAAACAAGCCTCGGCGCAGATTCGCTCTTCAGGCAGCCGCGGCTCGCAGACCGCTCTGAAAGGCTCCGCTCAGCGCTGTGTCTCACAGCAGGCAGACCAGGGCCCTGTCCCATTCCCTCTTTCTACCCCTACCCCTTCTTTTCGAGTGTCAGCTTAACCCCTTAGGAACTGAGTTACAGGGTAGTGGCTGAAATCTTCCCTCTGAAATGGGACTCAAATAAAAACAGCATTACTTCATTAACAGCTACCAGCGCTGCTCTGTAGGCGACCCTGCCAGTCTGCAGTGACAGCCTGAAGCTGAAGTCAGATATTCACCAGATTCTTATTCGAATTTTCCCGTTCCAGTTATATTCTGGCGCTTCAGGCGTCAGAACTGCTGGACTATTTAAGGTGGAACGGGAAAATCAGATAGTCACCTACCGAGACATTAGCATGCTATTAGCGATTTTTTATGCTTGTTATGAAGAAAACGACCAAAATACACTGAAACAACATTAAACTAAGATAAAACAGTGGATATTGTGATTTTTAACAGAGAAAATTCTCACATTTGTGGGTTTCTTTGGTCTCTTGTTCTCCGTCTCGTCGGTTTTTCTTTTTTTCTCAAAACTCTCTGTTTGGAGTCTCTGAAAAACCTCCGTTTGGAGGGTAATGTAGCCCCAACACTGCACCCTCCCCCTCTATCTCAACAAGAATCGGGACCCCCTACCCCTAGACGTGAAGTGCAAAACCGAGGGCTAAGGGCTCAGTGGTAGGGGCGAGGGGTGAAATGGGACTGGGCCAAGTCTTCAAGCTTTCCAAAATGTCTCGGCTCAGTATTTGTAGGTTTTATGGTCCAACTACACCCTGTTTAGCAGGCCTGGGGCAAACCGAGTTCGCGTCAAGACGTTTTCCATGTGGACAGCGTTCCTCTCGAATCACTTGCCTTCTGTTGGGGTCTCCAGGCTTCTGAATGGCTTGTCCATGATTCCTAAGCCGTATAAACACTGATATGCAATATAACTAACCTCTTAAAGAGGATGGTTCGTCTGGGTATATTTAGTTTTTTCCATCTGAATTCACATGACCAAATCGTAAGGCAAATTATTCAGTAACTGCATGAAATAAATGTAAATTCTTATTTTATTATTATTAATTTTTTGTTGGTAAAAGTTCCCCTCCAATTAACAGAACATGTGTTTTATGATACACATATTGCTATATGCTTACAATTCACTGCTGAAAGCCAAAAATCTTAGACACTCTTTGTATTATTTTATAAAAAATTTTACAGAGCAGATCACTGAAGAGACGCCATCTGTTTATAGTTTATAGCCCAGATTTGTGGAAAAATGGGTCGACTTTCAGTAGAACAAAAAAAAATCTTTTTTCAGCTTCTTTTATTATATGGGTTTAAAATTACATCACCCATCTATTTGACTGGAGAGAAGACAGTTACAGCTCTCATACAACACTCACCTTTAGAATGTAGCTTATGAAATATGATAGTTATGAAGAATATGACGAAGTGCGTTTTGGAACCACCGGTGGTCTCAAGGAGTTAAAAAGGTTAAGGCTTCTTTAGTAAAGGGAAGGGTTCTATATAGAATCACGAGTTCTGTATGGAATTATTTAATGCTTAAATAGTTCTTTGCATGATGAAATAGTTTCCTCAGATGGAAGGAGTGTTGTATATGGTTCTATATGGCACCAAAAAAGGTTCTTCTGAACTTACACACTTAAAAATGATGATTTCCAGGGGTTGATTAGTAAAGAAAATGGTTCAATTTACCACCATGAACACTCAAAGAACCTTTTGCATGAGTATAGGGTTCTCTGCATTGTGAAAGCGTTCTTCAGACTGATGGAGAATGTGTTGTATATATGTGCTTGACATTGTAACAATAGAAGAACCCTTCTTGGTGCTATATAGAACCCTTTTCAAAAAGGTTCTATATGAAACCGTGTACAACACATTCTCCCTCCATTGTAAGATCCATTTCACCACACAGAGAACCATTAAAGCATTAAACTGTTCTACATATAACTAAGTAGACTCATTTTCTTCACAAAAGCACGGAGCCCTGCTGGTGACATCCCGTATGAATAAAAACAATGCGTGGCCACGCCTTATTAATGCGTGGGAATGAGATCTGATTGTGTGGCCACATCTTAGTAAGGCATGGGAAAGAGATGTTTCAGTCGTTGCCACGACTTAGTAAGGTGTGGGAACGAAATCATGCCTTACTAAGTTGTGGCCACGCATTATTTTTATTTACACAGGATGTCACCAGCAGGGCTCTGTGCAAAAGAACCCTCGAAGAACCGTCTTTTTAAGAGTGTACTCTACTTCACATCGCCAAGCAAAAGTGGGCTTGAACCAGAGGTTTGTGTGCTGGAAATGGGAATTTTTTACTGACCACAACAGATTACAGACAAGAAGTCTTAAATTAATAAGTGCAAACAGAATGTAATTTAGACAGCCAATCAGCAGTCTAGATTTTGGAACAAAAATGCTTATTGGCTCAGTGACTGACTGCTTAGTTATTGAATTTAGTCTTGAGCAATAAGGAATTTTTCAGTGCTCGGAAGTATTAAAGTAATCCTGTCGGTACCATAAAATGATTTAACTTCATACCCACTCCTGTATATAATGTAAACAGGCTTAGGGTGAATTCATGCATTAAGCTAAACCTGTTTATCTCTGTAAAAACATCTTCTAAAATCATAATCTAAAAAATAAAAGTGATCAGCAAACACACAAACTGCTTTAAGGTGCAACTTTATTACAAAAGTAAAAATTCAACCATTTTAATGAATGATTCTGATAGAAAACATTACAATCTGTTTCACAGAATTATATTACTAAGCTGATTTTTTACACACCAAACCCTGTTACATCTGAACAGACGAAACCTACACGCAGTTACAGTAAGTTGAGCCTAGACATTTGCATGGGTAGCAGAATACCTGACAGAAAAGTTTAGCACTTACACATGATTGAAATTCACAGCCAAGAGCCCAAACGAACAAAATATAAACTTCTTAAACTTCTGTTAAGCTCATAAAACATTAATACTATACCTTTATTTCACTTTTTTTGTTTTGTATCAGTAAGGTATATATACATGCAACTTGGTCTGTTTCTGTGTCCTGCTGTGCCCTGTTGTGTTAAACTGTAGATAATGCAATGCACTGTAAAGCATCGCGGCTCCTGCTGTGTGAGACTGGTGGGAGTGGTAGAATGTATTAAGACTAAGACTAAGACTCTCTAATTGTGTATGTCTTTATTTTTGAGCATGTAAGTCCCAGGCTGCCGTCTTAAATCCACAAATACTGTGTTTAAACACAAAAACAGACTTGTGTACGCTTGTACAAGTCACACTCTGGTAGAGCTCGTTCCGACCTTTTCACTGAAACCGTAGTTTGGCATGACCATTGTGCCCCCCCGAAAACTCCTCTTGCTCTGTGTGCTTTTAACTTCAAAAGGCCTGATCTGCTGCACGGCACAAAGCAAGCCCTGTGCTTTGCCGGACAGCTTCTAGAGTGGGAGGAACCCAAGCAGAGCCAAAGCTAAGGGGAGCACATTTCCTCCTTCAATCTGGCAACCGCTGAGTCTCAAGGACGCAGATTAATAATGCTGGGAAGGGTTTGGGCTTGCTCTGGGAGTGTGCAGCCGTGCAGCTTTGAACGACTCCTGGTGATATGTATTGTGTAATCCATGAGACGACCCATTACCATGATGTCTCCTCCCTGCTTGCTCTTTTTTCTGTTTTTTTTTTTTCTTTTTTATTTCTAATTCATACTGATATTTGCAGTATGAGGCAAAGGCCATTTCTGGGCCCAGTCTGTTACAAGAATAATGAATATTTATTCTAATTAATAAGAAATATCAAGCGGGGGGGGGCGCACTACTACTTTTTCTAAAACGCATGCATTTGCAAGCAAGGACGTGACAACCACCTAGAGAATATTGAAACACGTGTGCATGGCAGTGATGTTAGCATCCTTAATAACAAAGCTACGTGTGAAAACAAACCAACGATACAATTTTATTTTTTTAAGAAAATAGAGTGCAATAAAAATCTTATCTTTACTCTTGATTTACAGTATATGTGGCATAACAAATATTCGACATAACCCAACATATTTAAATGCAAAACTCCCCAGGTTGGAGAAGAAATGGACGTTTTTTCCTATACATATAATCCCTTCTCTATCCCTGAGCTGATATTATGGTCTTTTCATTCACTCAATCCCCAACTTTGACCATTCTATTGACCCTGATATGGTCATGTATGCTAGAACCCATGTTGGCGTAACCAAGGCCCCCTATGGAGCTTGTTTAGCTGGTCGAGGCTTTAAGGGGGAGGAGTGGGGTCAAATAGGTCGGGTCATCTTTCTGTTCCCTTTCTTCTTTTTTCGTTCAGTGGTGCCATTGCTCTCAAAAATCCGAAATCCTGTCTCCTGCAGGGCATGTGGGAAAAGCCATTGTTTACAGTAGAGTCGAGCCACGCAGACGGACCAGAGCTGGAGGCTTCCTTCCAAAAGACGCTTTCTAACGACTTTAAGCCTCAGGCTTTGTTTTCCTTCGCCTCTGCCGCCGCTAAACGCCGCAGATAGGCCAACCAGGCGGAGGCCCAGGAAGCCGGAGGAGCTGGCCTAGTTCTGTGACCTGTGGAGAAAGTGTACAGACCCTGCCAGACTCATAGCCTTTACTGGCCTCAGCTCTGTACAAACCATCCAGACCTCAGAGGTCCAGCATACTGACAGTGCAGGCCTCATAAACCCAAATGTTAACAACACCCCTAAGAAATGACTTTGTAACTACCTGCACTGAGGCTTCCCTCGCTAACGGCGCGCTCTCTTTTTCATATTTCTTTTCTCTCTTTTCTTGGAAAGTCAAAGTTAGTCAGAGTCAGTCGTCCGGCCCGTGACATAAAAAGCAGCCGGGCTCTTTCTCTCTGTGGGAAAAAGCATGCCATGTCTTCGAACCCTGTTGCTCGAGCCATTTCGCCTGCCAAAGAAAGGGTGGAGGATGCATGCCATCTCATTAAAAAAACAAAAAAAACTTCCACGGTATTTGAGAGTTATATCCTTTTACGGATTTTAAGTTCGCCTAGAGTGATGAAAACACCAAGAGGAATGAACATACCTATCTACACCATCTAACAAATGCACACATAACTGAACTAAAGAACCTTTCCGCAGGGACAGTGTGAGCTGGACAAAGAGAAGAATGTGCTTGACCACAGCTTTTGAAGTCACTCAGCATTATGACGGAATGATTTTTACAGTCAGTGTTGAAGTACCCTGGTGTAACCCAAACCCTTTATTAGGGAACATAGTGAATCTTTTTGTCTGGTAATTTAGTACGGAAAGGTCTGTGTGTTAGCATGTGTGTGTCTCAGCATCTTTCGGGTCTCAGACACATCCATGCTTACAGTGCAGATGTATATGCTGTCTGCTGTTTTACCGCAAATGGAACGTGTGTATATGTGTATGTGTGCTTATGTGGGTCAACTTCCATACTGAAGTCTTCAAGGAGTCCCGGCCCACATCTCTACAGCCCTGTGACGTACATTTCCATGCCATCATTGAAGGTGAAGATGGTGGTGGTACTCATGGCGTTCGCCCCTTGCTTTGCATCCCCGATGGCCTCGTAGAAGTTCTCGCAGGTTAGGGCCCTTCCCGGCCCCTGAGGCTGACCAGAGGGCTTCTTCTTGGGCTTGAGTGTGTTGCTCACCGGCCTATCTCTCTTGCGGTGCGAGTCGATGGTAGCGTACGCAGGGTCTGACTCGATGGCTTTTGGCCACGTCTTCTCACCCACCGCCTCGTAGCAGTGCTCCTCCGGGGGGCACATTCTGCCCCGTGCTTCCTCCTCAGGAGCTCCCCCTGGTGGCCAAGACTGAGAAGCCCCAGAGCCTTCCTCTCCCCCCAGGGATGGAGCCGAGCCCGTCTGCCCACTGGCCTGCTGGCTTAAGCCCTGCTGTTGCTGCTGTTGCTGCTGCTGCTGCTGTTGATGTTTCTTCTTCAGGGTTTTACACACGGTGGAGTACATCTCAGAGATCTGGGGAAAGAAAAACCACAGACTGAGAAACACAGTGGGTCCCTGCCAGAAACCAGGCTGTCAAAATGGATTTCGTAATAAAACCGTCCCAAGGAGCAAGGCGC